ATATCAATGTTACAATTAGTGATTTTACAGGAGGGATGAATCGCTCAAGGGGTGTGTTGCCTGTTGAGTTAACAGTGGAAAATAGGACACTGATATCTATATTTTTTGTGGTGGACACTATTGCTACTTACAATGCACTTTTAGGGCATGCCTAGATTCATTCAAGTTGGTGTGTCCTTTCTACACTTCACCAAAAGCTGATTTTCTAGAATGGTGGCAAGGTTGAGGTGGTGTCTGCAAATGATAAGCCTTTTTCAGCCAATACCCACCTGGTGGAGGTTAGATATTATGAAGAAAACATTGGTACCATTCGGTTTTTGGGATGGATAGACATGGGAAGTCAATTGGGATAACAGCATGCAACAGACCGTCATTGTATAAGCGTGTCATAGAGGAAGTCTGTGATGAACTTCTTCGGCCAACAACACTAATTCCTTATAGGCTGAAGGGGAAACTAAAAATTGAAGAAATCTAATAAAGCAAGCTTGTCTGAGAAAAGAAAGAGAAAAGGTCGTGTTGGAGATAACAAAGAAATTAGTGACCTATTTTGCTGAAAAAGTAGTTCAAGTGGACAGGTATGAGATTGTTCATGAAGGAGAAAAGGCAGACTAGGATGATGACATAACTTTGGAGGAGCTAGATCTTGCCCCAACCAAGTTGGATGATCTAAAAGCTGAAGTTCAAGACCCATTGGAGGAGATCAATCTTAGGACTGAAAGTGAGTCAAAGGTAACATTTATCAGCGGCTCTCTTGAGTCGTAGATACGAGATCAAATTATCAAACCTTTGTATGAATTTAAAGACTGTTTTGCTTGGGATTACTTAAAAATGCCAGGTTTAGATCAAAATTTGGTGGAACATAAACTGCCAATTGCAGAAGGATTCAAACCGTATAAATAGCCACCCAGACACATGTCTGCAAAGGTCACCTTGAAGTTGAAAGAAGAAATTGAGCGGCTGGTAAAAGCTGGATTCATTCGGACGTGCAAGTATGCAGAATGGTTGTCAAATGTAGTGCGGTGTTGAAAAAGAATGGAAAATTAAGAGTCTATGTTGATTTTTGAAACTTGAACTTAGCCACACCAAAGGATGAGTATCCCATGCCAATTGTAGACTTGCTAGTTGATGGACTAGTCCGTCACAAAATTTTATCTTTCATGGATGGCCATAGTGGGTACAATCAAATTTTTATTGCAAACGCAGACGTTCCAAAGACAGCCTTTCGATGCCCAGGTGCTCTTGAAACTTTTGAGTGGGTTGTAATGCCTCTTGGTTTGAAGAATGCTGGAGCCACCTACCAAAGAGCCATGAATGTAATTTTTCATGATATGATTGGTAAATTCATGGAAATCTACATTGATGATGTTGTGGTAAAGTCACAGGAGGAAGAAGACCACCTAACTCATTTGAGGAAGGCTTTTGAGTGGATGAGACAGCATGGTTTGAAAATGAACCCACTAAATTTCGCCTTTGGAGTGTCTACAGGTAATTTCCTTGGATACTTGGTACATGAGCGTGGTCTGGAGATTGACAAAAACAAGGCCAGGGCTATAATCGAGGCTCAACCACCGTAGACCAAGAAGGAGTTGCAGAGATTTCTTGGCCAAGTTAATTTTTTAAAACGTTTCATTTCTGACTTGGCTGGGAAAACCAGAGTCTTTTCTCTTTTGTTGAAACTCAAATCTAAAGCGGATTTCAAGTGGGAAGAACAACATTAGTCTGCCTTTGATACAATAAAGTAGTATTTATCCAAACCACCAATACTTATACCGCCTATGAAAACTAAACCTTTAATTTTGTATATATCCACCACAGACTAGTCCATAGGATGTCTGCTGGCGTAGGAAAATGATAAAAAACAAGTGTAGACTGTGTATTACTTGAGCCGATGTTTGACCGAGACCGAAGTGAAATATTCTTCTATCGAAAAGTTGTGTCTTGCTCTCTTTTTTGCTGTAATAAAATTAAGACATTATTTGATTTATTCTGAGGTCTATATGGTTGCTAAGACTGATATTGTCAAATATATGTTGTCTCACCCTTTGTTAAGAGGCCGAATAGGTAAATGGATTCTAGCATTATTTGAATTTAATTTGAAATACATACCACAGAAGGCTGTTAAAGAGCAGGCATTAGCAGACTTTCTTGTAGATCATCCATGTTTGGAAGTGAAAGCCGATGAAGAAAGGGGGATTAACTTGTTTTCAATAAATTTAGTTCCTTGGAAACTTATTTTTGATGGATCTAGTACAGAAACCATGTATGGAGCTAGGGTCGTCATAATCTCCTCGTCTGGCTAAAAACACAGATGCCTTTCCAACTGGATTTCAATTGCACAAATAATCAAGCAGAATATGAAGCTCTGATTATTGGTCTTGAGATGTTGGTGGAGCTTAAAGTATCCATGGTTGAGGTTATAGGGGACTCATAACTAATATTGAAGCAATTGTCTGGTGAGTACAAATGTACTAGCCTTGCTTTAGCCCCTTATTGTGCCTTGGCTGTGCAATTACTAGAAGAATTTGATGATGTGTCTATCAGACATGTGCCTAGAGACCAGAATTATGAAGCTAATGAAATGGCCCAAATTGCTTTAGGTTTGTAGATTCCTAAAGGTGTAATACAAAAAGTTGTAATAGTTGAAAAGCGTAGTTTGCCATCAATTCATCAACGTGGCATGACAGTTTCTACTTGTAGCATTGATGTCACCTAGATAGATTGGGACTTTCCAATTATTCAGTACCTTAAGGATGAGGGCACTAAGGTATCTAGGAAAACCAAAATACAAGCTCTCAATTATATCTTGATTGAGAATGTGCTTTATAGGAGAGGCCATGATGAACTATTGTTGCGTTGTTTAGGTCTAGATGAAAGTTTCCAAATGTTGTCTAATGTCCATGATGGGATTTGTGATGCACACCAGGCTAGGATCAAGATGTGCTGGCTGATTCATAGACATGGTTCCTTCTGGCCGTCTGTCTTGAAAGATTGTATTGCTTATGCTAAGGGCTGCAAATCTTGTTAAATCCATGGGTCACTTCAAAGAGTTCCAGCCTCTGAACTCAATTCTATTGTGAAACTGTGGCCATTTCGAGGCTGAGCTATTGACTTGATTGGTAAGGTGTACCCTCCTTCATCAAAAGGTCATTCATTTATTATAGTGGTAACAAATTATTTAACCAAATGGGTGGAGGCTAAACTAATGAAGAAGGTAGATCAATTTGATGTAATCAAGTTCATCAAAGAGGACATTATTCACAGGTTTGGTCTACCAAAAACAGTTACAATAGACCAAGGCATAGGTTTGGTCTACTAAATTCTACTCTATATTATGCACAAGCTAACAGGTAAGCTGAGGCTTCCAACAAGGTAATGATTGGTCTGCTAAATTCTACTCTATATTATGCATAAGCTAACGGGTAAGCTGAGGCTTCCAACAAGGTAATGATTAATTTGCTTGAAAAATGGGTGGATGAGAACCCTAGACGTTGGCATGAACTGTTGTCTGAAACACTGTGGGCTTATAGAACTTCACAAAGGAGTTCAACCAAAATGACACATTTTGCTTTAACATATGGCCATGATGTAGTCTTGCCAATGGAGTTAACAGCTAGGTCTTTAAGAATAGCAGTTTAGCATAATCTCTAGTCCAGGGAATACGATAAGGCCATGATGCTTGAGCTTAAGGACCTTGAAGATACACGTTTAACAGCTTTGGATAGATTACTAGCTCAAAAGCTCAAAATTGCAAAGTCTTACAACAAGAGAGTGAAAAGTAAAAATCTGGCAGTTGGTGACTTGGTCTGGAAAGTAATTTTACGTTTTGGTAAGAAAGATCACAGATTTGGGAAATGGTCCCCAAATTGGGAGGGATGATTCCGAATTCATGAAGTGTTGAGAAGGGGTGCTTATGGGTTAGAGTCACTTGATGGGGAGCTTCATCCTAGAAAAATCAACGAAATTTATCTCAGGCCTTATTATCCCACAATCTGGGAGGCAAAAGGCTTAGAATCTCAAGGAATGGTCTGAGCCAGGTTCATACTTCTGTCTGTGCATAAATAATTTGATTTGCTTTCTTTTCCTTTATTTTAAAATAAGAACAAGATGGATCAAGCGGCCTTGTTTGGCTGTGGGGATAAGCAATGCCCAGATAGAATTAAGCTGGAATAAGATGAAAGAGCTTGCTACAACTATTTTAAAAGAAGAGATCAACAAGTTCAAAAGTAAGTTCATAATGTTCAAAGTCTGAGTGGCTTTATGGCCACAGGATTCAAAATCAGAAATGATCTAGACAGTGAAAAGAATATGCAAAGGATTTAAGGAAAATGGTTGTGCCAGTCACTCCATTCCATCCTTATAAGAGTAAGCTCTTCTTCAGCTTGGTCGGCAGAGTCTATCAACCTCTCTAGAGTCTGCTATAAAGTAGCAACATGATCAATGTGAGAGTTTAGTTCAGCAAATGCATGAGTCCTTTGGTCAAATAAGGTATTTGCAGATTCCTCCTGGGAAGAAAGTTGCTCATGGAGCTTGGATAATTCAGATTCAAGGAATTTGGTTTCATCTTGGATGGTCTGGATGCATTTAGTCTAAGTCCCATGATCATGCTTTATGGATAGACACTTTGCGTTCTTGTTGACCAAGGTTGCAGTCTCATCAACTACAGTTTTAGGAGCAGACTCAACTCTCCCTATAACATCTGATTTGTCTGCAAAGCACCTGTAACAATCTGTGAATATAAAAGGGAAGTCAGTCTAGAATTTTTTCAAAGTTACAGATAAATCTGGTGAGTGACTTAGGATTTTAGCAGCACTGATAATGGTTGGCTGATCTGGAATGCGACAGAAGTTTGCTGGATCTCCATTGACAAGCTCTTCTAAGGTCTGGATAGCAATGCTGATTTATTCTAGACTAGGTATTGGCGAGTTCGAGCCAGTGGTCTCAACCACTAATTTTCCCTTCCTTGTAAGGTGCGATTCTCTTGGTACATGAAGACTTGTTAATTTCTCAAACTTGGCAAAGATTTCATCTTCCATGGCATCATCAATAGTAGTAAGAGGAGTTGAGGTCTGTAAAATAAAAAAATATATAAAAAAAATTAGTGTGTATATGCAGAAAGTTTAAAGCAAACTCTGCGATGACTTTTCATAGACAGGTTACTTACCTTGGGAGTTGGAAAGCTGGCTTGAAATGGAGTAGATGTAGTGGAAGATGTTTTCCTGGTTTTCGGAGAAAGATCAACCACCTCATTTGGGTTGACAATCTTGAATTTCTTGTTAGCAAGCCGCAAGGAAGAACGAGTGCCTTTCGTCTTAGATGGAAGCTTTTGGATATCCGAAGGAGAGGAGTTTGAACATTCGTGGCTCGAAGACTTATCAATTGGGTCTTTAATAATGGGATTGTGAATTATTTCATCAATCAAGCTTTGTAGACGAGCTTCAGCAGCTAAGGAGGCTTTGAAAGGAGAAGATGAAGAGGCTGTGGCCAACCTTTTAACTAAAGGAGGTTTATGGGCTACTCGTTTGATACTTGCAGACAGATTTCAAAAGGAGTCAATGCCTTCTAGATGGGAAAATTAAAATAAAGTTTACCTTTTGGATTGAACATTACCTCCTCTCTTGGGAGCTTTGTGGGATGCCTTGTCTGTTTCAGGACTCACCATATTGGAAGCTTTTCTGTTTGGTTATTGCCCTCTTTTTTTGCCACAGTGTGACTTGAAGTAACAGACTCTGGGACTGTGTCATCAACTTGAGATTTTATTTCTACTGCAGATTGGTTGGGTTGTGAAGAAGGAAGAAGATTGATAAAGTTCTCGGCTACACCAAAAAAACTTGGCACAAAATAAGACTTCCACCATTCCTTGTGTGCGGTAGTGCAGCTTGGTTTGAATGGTGGGTCTTGGAGGTCTATGTTTTGTAGAGCAAGCATTGAAGTGGCTAAGTACTTGGAGACCACACTAGGTCCTTTCATGGTGTAACGAAGAGGGAAGCAGTGGTTGAAAGAGAACATAGGAGGCACTGGAATCTCTTAACAATAGCCTAATTGCTGGCTGAACTAGTTAGAAGCATAAAGCTCAGCCCCACTCTTTTTGTAGTTGCTGCTACAGCCTATAAACAGATGTCGAGTGGTTACACAGGTTGTCCACGCTGAAATGAAGTTTGTCGTTCCTATTTATGCTTTATACCAGTCTTGCCCAAACTGTCTATCTAGAAATGGAGCAAACTCGAAGTCTAGTTTATCAATGGAGAGAGAAGCGAAAAATTGGAAGCAAGATTCATATGTCTTAGCAGGTTTGCCTTCAAAAGTGGCATCTTTGTAAATCATGCCATAAGTAAGAACTTCTTCAGTAGGCAGCAGCTTGAGAGTAGGACCCAAGGCTGGGAAGTAACAGTACAACCAAAGCTGCAAAAGCCACAAAGGGCCACCATAGTGGCTGAATGGATAAACGGTAGCATCATACCAGCTTCAATAAAGGCTAGCCAACAGAAATGGAGCAACTGCCAAACGCCTACCATGAGCGAAAGCTAAAGCTAGAGTGATATATTCCTTGGTGGGTCCTTTTCCAGCTACACAGACAATGAACTTGCAAATTAAGGTTAGTAGAAATGCAGTATGTTCTTTCATGTCTAAGGCTTTGATGGTTTCTAGCTAGCTTTAATAAAGGCATTGTAAGAGGGTAAAATGGACTTTGTATCAAAGTTGGCACCTGGGACACTCAATAAAGCTGTGATTTCTTCTCCAACACAAGGCAGACCAGTAAGAGAACAAATGTCAAACAAAGTAACAAACATAACATTGCAAGGGAAATGAAAATAGTTATAAGACCCAGACCAAAATAGTAAAGTAGTTCCAAGCAAAATCATATCCATAAACGTCTGGTAAATGGTCATATGAGTAAATTCATACAGACCTAGTGTTTTCCATGTGTTTCCAAAGGGTTTTTCTAGCCGAGCAACCTAAGAAGGCCAATCATCAGTTTTATTAGTTGGCTAAGATCCAGATCTGCCAAGCCAAGGCTCCCAATCTGGTTCAAGTTGGAAGGGGAGGAAGTGTCTGTGAGGTTGTGGGTACAAAACATGTAGATTTGAAGGAGGTGCTGATGATGTGAAATCAAGACTCAAAATTAAAGAATCTGAAGTTTCAAGAAAAATTTGGTCTGAAAAGCTTCTCGATACCTGGTTATAAATCAAAGAAAGCTCTTCTTGCAGATCTCGATTTTCGAAGATGTCAGCAGTGTCCATCTGTTCTGGAGGTTTAGATTCAGGAGGAGAAGTTCCGGCTGCACTAGGGTCTGTGCCGGTTTTCTTACTACTAGTCATGGTTTGGGGCTCAGATCCGGAGATGGCGAGGTTGAGGAGGATGACAAAAGGTGGGTCTATTTTGTTTTGATTGAGATTTCCCAAATGAAGTGTTGTTAAGTGTGGGGTAGAAGATGAGTCGGTAGTTTTAAAGATAAAATTTAAAAAAAAAGGGAGTCAACGGAGATTATTTATATATATATATATATTTAAATGAAGAAGGAGATTGAGATGTGATGAGGAAATCTACAGATTTTTGGGAAGGGAAGTACAAAAGATTAAGATTTAGATTGATTATGCACATGGCTTTAAGAGTCTTTAGAGATGAGTTCAGCATTTAAACACTTGAATTTATTCCCATAAAACCAAGTGTTGGGGGGCATTGTTTACACCTTAAAAATAAATTAATGAGATAAAGCCATGTGTTAGGAGTAAGCCCAATCTTTAATGGGAGTCATTAAGTTGGATTAGGTTGATTTGGATTGGGCTAACTTGGAATTCAAAGGCCCAGATGGATTTATAAGGAAGTTGGATTTCAAGTGGCAGAAGATAAGTTGGGTTCTAGTATTTTGAGTTTGATTTAAAGTAGGAAGTTGAGAGTTTTTAGGTAGTTATCTTTAAGGTTTTGTTGGAGATCAAATTAAATTAAATTACGGGATAACTAATAGACATGGAACCCCCACTACTTGATCAAAGTGGAAAAGGGCCGAGAAACATGGAGGAAGTTTCCCAGCACCAAAGGAAAGAAAAATAGGGAGAAGAAATTAGTTCCAGACAGCCTGCTCTACACACACATTGCCTAGAGCATGTTTTTCAACTTTCATACTACTTTTTCCAAGTTTCAACAATAGTTTCTAGATTAGTTTGCAAGATCTGTTCTTGTTCATAGCCTTAGTTTAGGTTTTTCCATCCTTGTTCATATCTTTCCTCAAAGATTTCAGCTTAGGTTAGTTTTTAAGCATTTGGAAGCAATTCAGCCTTCAAAACAGGTCTGCCTTGTTGATTTGGTTAGTTCCTCTATCTTTTATGGATTCAACTATGTTATTTGTTCATGTAAATAGGTTGAATGCTTTCTGCCTTTATTCTTTTGTTTCTACACGACAGCCAAACATGCAGTTTATCTAATTTCAATTTCCAGATTTAATTTTATAAGTTTCCAAACTTTAATTATTTCGTTGATTCTCCTTCAGCTTTAGTTATCAAGTAGTTTAACTATTTTTTTATTTTAAATCTGCAAGTAATTAAGTTTAATTGCTATGGATTGCGTAGTAGAAGTCGTTGCCTATGATTTTGCATTTTTTGTTGTCTGGGAATTTTATTTTTATGGCATGTTGTTTTCTTTTATTGATCTTATGTTAGATTAGTTGCCTTTAGGGATGTCAACAGGGCCCTGCGGGGCTGGGGAGTCCCTGGCGGGGACAGGGATCCCCATTCCCCACAAATAATATATAAATATACATTTTTTACATCAAACATAAATCAAAATCATAGTTTCACTGAAATTCACAATAGACTCTAGAAATTAAATAGACAACCAAGCATTCATAATTTTCTCAATTTCTTGATTTTATTGAGAAGCTACTACACTTTTTTATGTTATATGTATATCATTATATGTAAAGAAATTAACTAGGCAATTCACTAATGGAAATGGCTATGAACAGTCAATGAATGTAGCAAATTTTAAAAAATTTAGACTTTCTCTATGTTAAATCAACCCATAAACAAATTATTTAAACATTTTACCATTTGGATCTATAGCTTCTAGCAGTAGGTGGAGTGGTCCGGCAGTAGAGACGGTTCAGCAGCTTAGCAACAATCGTAGAGGTAGTTCAGCAGTCCACAGATCGACTTCGACTTCGACTACAACTTTGAGTAGCAACAGCAGTGGCGCAACAGTGGCAGAGCAGTGGCGCAGCAGTGGCAAAGCAGTGGCGCAGCAACAGCAGCAGCAGCAGAAGTGGCGCACCAGCAATCCAGACTCAAACGAATCTGGTTCAACAGCAGCAGTCCAGACTCCAGTTCTAGGTAGTAGGGTGAGATGTGAAATAGAGAAGGGTAGAAGGGCGACAATGAAGGGATTGAGGGATTTAGGGTTTGAGATTTGTAGGGGAGCGCCAAAAGGGAAGGTGGAAGATGACTTAAGTGAGTGTGTGTGTGAGAGAGTCCGAGGGTGAGAGGCAGAGGCAGTCATTGGAGAAATGGAGAAATGAATGAGGCTGTTTAGGGTTAAAAGGATTAGGTTGGGCTTTGGGTTGGGCTTTGGGGTGGGTTAAATTTTATTGAATTGAATTTGGGTTTTAAAATTATATTAAATTTAAAATGAAATTAATTTATTTTTTTTTTTAATTTTTCACGGGATGGGGATCCTCGAAAGCCCCAGGGAGGGGAAAATTTCGCGGGGGGAAAATGCCCCCCGTCCCCGCGGGACGAATATTCCTCCCCGCCTTGTCCCCATGGCATGGATCCCCACGGCATGGATCCCCACAGGGCCCCACGGCGATCAGGGCAAATTGCCATCCCTAGTTGCCTTACGATTTTGTGTTAATTTTAGGATTTGTAGCTTTTATTACACTTTTGTGGTTGTAAAGTCCTTAGAGGTTTTCAAGGCAGTTAGTAACCCATTTTGTAAAACTCCACCCTCTGTTTTGCAACATCGTCTAGGGCATAATTTATTTCACAGACGTTCTTTTCAGCCATCCTATTGGAGGTCGACTATTGGAAAGGAGAAGGGTCGTTTAGAAAATCCTGTTTTCTTGGTTTTAGATAAAGCAAATGGCACGCCTAACATCCAAATTTGCGTGGTAAAGGCCGCTGAGGATTTTTGGGGAAATAGATCTCATTTATGATCTTGTCACTTCTCTTACACTACTAGAATATTGATTATTTCTGTCAAATTATTTAGTAGGTCAATCTTATAACTTGACCAAAAAAATAAGTATTTTGGTCAAAATATTTGATCAAAGTAACTTGTTACCTGATTAAAATCTTTAAGTTGCTTAGTTAGATTTAAATTTTATTTAATAAAAAAAGTTGATCAAATTATTAAGGCAGAAATTGGGGCCAAACCTAATTCGATTAAATATTTTCATCTACAAAATAAATAATTAAAAAATTTACTTTTCTGGTCAATTAATTTAACCAAAAAAAGAGGCAAAACAAAAATTCAGGCATGAATCTATTATAAATATTTTTTGGAAATTTTTTTGATTAATAGTTTTGATCAAAATAATTTTATCATTTTGTGTAAGATTTATTTCGGTTAATAGCCTTGGTCGAATTAGACTGAGCTGCAATATTTTTTGGAAATCTTTTCGATTAATAATTTTGATCAAAATAATTTTATCATTTTGTGTAAGATTTATTTCGGTTAATAGCCTTGATCGAATTAGACTGAGCTGCAAAAGTCTGCCGATGATTGGACTAGGCTAGACAATGGGGCCGAATAATGTGCATGGTTTTTCGGTCAAATTTATTGACCGAATTAGGCCTCCTTCCTTTACTTCTGTTAAGGAAATTTTTGGTGAAAGAAGGGAGTTGGAGGAGAAAGGGAAAAGCACCAGAGTTCTCTCTTAAGGTGCGGTGGGAACCCCTTTTTTTCATTCATTACTCTGCTATTATATAGCAGAAAACTCAGTACATAAAGAAAATTTCCTCACCTAATGCTTATCTAATACAAGTAAATCTATCAAACATTTAATGCAAGACTACATGAAAAGTTTTGCTTCCATTTGTGAGGCTCCATGTGGCTGTTCTTGCTGCTACTTTGCAGCCTTCCATTTGCCTTTTATTTCAGCCTCATTTCATCAAATCTTGCAGTTTATCTTGCTGCACTTTGCTGCTACCGTGCTTCGGTGCAGCTCTCCCTTCTTTTCCTTTTGCTGCCACCTGTGCAGCTTTCTTTCTATTTGCTGCCTCTTGTGCAGCTTTGACACCACCGCTCCAACAACTTTAGATATCTTCTCCTTCCTCTGCCCGATTTTCTGTGTTTTCCGACTATGCCTAGGCCAACTACTACTGGTGGAAGCCTCAATTGATTGAGGGGTGATTTTCATGTCTTCCTCTGCCCATTCGACGCTACTGCTAGATCTACTTCTTTTTTTCCTTTTTATCTTTTTCCTCACTGTTTTTTTGCTCATTTTGTGAAGCCTTGCTGTTACCACCACCAGTTGTAAGCCTCCTTCTGCCTCGTTCTGGCATTTTATTTAATTGATTACTTAGTGTTATTGATTTTTTTGCGTAATTTCATTTTTTTAATTATATAATTTTTATTTATTTGTAAGTATAATTATTTTGAGATTGTATTATGAATCCTTATTATTCTCTATTTCAATAATGTTATCACAATTTTTCATTCTTATTTGTATGGTTTTTAATTTTTTAATTCGTTGACCATTTCTTTTGTATTTTCTTGTAGGTCCATCACTTTCAAAGTATTCTCCTGACTTTTGGGGATTCAAATCGCAAGTTTTCATTTTCAAAAGTAATTTTTATAAATTTTTTCTTTGATTTTCTATTTTATTTTATTTACAAAAATTTATATTATTAATTTTTTTATTGTTTATAGCTTCTCTTATCTAGTATTATTAATGCATGATTTGAAAGTATTTTATTTAATAAGTAATTGTTGGCCAATTTTAGGTTTTTTTAGTACATACAATCTTAGATGTTTGTTTAGAATTTGGATCATTATTAATATATTATTGAATTAATAGTATATTAAGTATGTTTGGCAATGAAGAATATTAATTTACTATTTAATTTTAATGGTAAAATTTGAGTGGGTAATGAAGAATATTTTTCATTTTTTAATAACTAACGTAATTATATTAGTTATTTGACAATAAGTTTGGTATATTTAGGCAATATTTAAGGTGTTAAAATATCAAAGTTGGATGTATCGTCATCTAAACGATAAGAAATGCTTTATTGATGAATTCAACGATATGTGGAATTCTTTTTGGATCGTGCATTCTCACAGTCCAACTCAAATTTTTATTGCAAAAAATCATATTAGATGTCCATGCAAAAAATGTATGAACAAAGAGTGGCATGGAGAAAGTTCAATTTTTTGGGATACTCTGGCAATAGAACACTTTTGAGAGTTTGGCCTCTGATTTACCTTTTTGTGATAATTGAGAAGATGGATGTGAATTTTTTTTTCTTTTTTGGCCGAGTGAAAATCATTCTTGCAAGTGTATCTTTGTATATATTTTATATTTTGTTTACAGATGGAATGTCCATTTTTTAGGGGAAACTCTACCAAATTTTTGTAAATAATAAACATTAATTATAATAATTATTCAAAATATATATTAATGGATATTATTTTTATCAATTTAATTATATTGCAGGAACAAACAGTTACAGAGGCTGTCCAGAAATATGAGGAGGATACCACTCAGTGGCCCTAAATCCTTGACGCTCAGTTGTTGGCCCATGTTTCAGGTGGGCCTTCAAAGGGTGGGCGTGTGAAGGGGATGCCCACGCATATGGACTCATGCAACAATTTGTGACGCAATTATAGGTAGACCAAATGACCTCGCATGAGAAGGTTGAAAGGATGGAAAGGATGCTTATGATGGTGCAAGGAGGAGGAAGAGCTAGTACTAGTGGAGGATTGTAGTTTACCTTTGTCAATTTTATAAATATATGCTTAGTTATCTGATAATGATGCAGAGTGTTTCATCATTTTAGGCCAAGTTTAATTTTCCTCTACTGATAGACAAATTTGGTCTCTACTAATTCGAATGTTTTAGTTTTTATTCCCAAATAACTAACTAATACTTGAACTATTTAAATTGTACTTATTATGTTATGGTGGATATAATATTAATTTTATATATACATGTTATGAAAAAATATCAAGGAATAGACAAAATAGGTTATGTCTAGAAACTTCAGGGAGTTGAAATTATAGGAACAAATGAATGTGATGAAACAAGATGTGGGGGGAATTGTACTTAATATTTCAGTCATAACCACTAACCAAAGGACTAATTTGGTTAGCATTTATGACCAAAATGTCTTTTTTGTTTTCCAAGAAAAAATAGTATTCCTTCTCCGCAAATCTTCTCGAAAATATTTTATATTTGCCTTCAATAATTCAGTCACAACTAATGTCTGAAAAGTAATCAACATCTCTTTGAAATTCAAGCCAAAATTTGTCAAAATGCAATCAAACTTATTTTGGTTATGTAGTTTGATTGAAACAGTATTCCCTTTTCAAAAATCCCATGAATTTTAATTCAATCATTTTTTTGTCTAAATTAAAATTTTACCCTCAATTCGTGATGAAACTTTTTTGAAATATTTGCCAAAACTAATTCGGTCATTTTTTGTCTGCAATAGAACTTTCCTCCATCCCCACTAAATTTGTTTGAAATTCCATCTAAATTTTTTTGAAACATCCGTTAAAACAAATTCGATGAAAATTTGACCAAAATATATTAACCTATAAATAATCCTCAATTCTCACAATTCTAGTTTGTTTCCCCCTATCTTCTTCTAC